TGATGAAAAGCGATTTCAATATAGAAAAAATCCACATTTAGACATTTAGAAAACAGAAAGTTTGAGCGAAGAAATACTTACTTTTCAATTCGATCTTCATCTCTATCTGGCTCTACTCTAATATATAAATATACAGCATTTTTATTACAATACACAACAGTTTACCAAACAAGTGGCGATATGTTTGTTAACAATAATTAGTCAGTGTCAAAATGTCAATGGGTTGATAATAAACGGAGAAAATCAATACACATTTAAAAGGTAGTAATGGTTAGAATAAATTAATTTTACAAGGATAACACGTAATTAAAGATGAAGTGGTCAGATAAAATAAAATAATTTGAACAATTATAATTTGAAAGGTCTAGGGGGAGGGGGGGGGGCGAAGTAATTCGGTTTATACAGTCATGTAACGATGGCCAAGGCAATGAAAATGTGGCTGTACAAATTTCTTCTGAACACACAGGTTTGGCTTCTTCAGGTGGATTCCTATTGCTTCAGCTGTCTGTAAAAGACGAACTCGTAGAGCAAAATAAGGATTAGTAGAAATGCGATAAATAATTTTAAATACTGTATTAACATCAACCTTATGCTCAGTATCAACAAGGTGTGCTAAAATAGAACTACGAATGGATTTTGTTTGTCCCTTGCTTAACCATGTTGGATGATGTTCGGAAATACGATGATGAACCTGCCTAATTGTACGCCCAATGTAGCTGGCTCCGCAGCTGCAGTCAAACTGGTAGATACACATAGAAGAGGCAAATTTAGGTAGTTTATTCTTATTTCTCGAACGTAGAGCAGGGGTGGTTGTGAAGAGATTTGTGTTAGGCTTTTCTCTCTGTATAAAGCAAATTATATCATACCCAAGAGATAAAAATGATGAAAGAGAATAGAGAGAGAGAGGCAGGTACGTTTGAAGGAATCTATTGATTTATTCACAATGTATACCAGATTTCTGATTAAATTCGTGTCTATCGCATACTTCATAGTGTTAGTTAACTCACTACAAGTAAGATGGACTATAATCTGTAAAAAGGAAACAAAAATCTAGCATAGTCTAGAAAATAATAATAATAATTAGTCTGAAGCAGCATAATGCCATAATCCAAAGGAAAAACAGATTTTCATGTTATGTGTTGTACTGTGTCACAGTATGTATATATATATATATACGTAGAAATTCGTATTGTGCATCCGTTTATTACAAACCACGCCTGTTGAATATAATACTGTTGTTCACAATCGCAATATGACAGTTGTTTAAAATTTGGTTTTTAATATTTTTAAGTTGAAATAGGAAAAATGAAGCACAGTGTAGTTGTTAAACGAGATAAAACTAGTCGAACATCTGTACGTACTCCTATTACATTCTATTATTTAGATGGATAGTTTTATTCAATAATTACCTACAATATCACTCTATATATGTATGCGTGTTGTCATTATACTGGTTAATGAGTTTTAAGAAATTTGAACTTCCAATCGATAAGTATGTTACCAATATTCTAATCGAAAAAATAATATAAATCAATTGGGATAAGTAGACAGGATTTTATTCCAAGGTTTTGTAGGATGAACATTAAGCTTAGTTCCAGTCTTCACATATATTTTGCAATAAGTATTTTTACTGGTCACCTTCTTTCTAGACGAGCAATATTAGCTGACATAAGATTAGGTTGGAAAAGACTTAGACGGGGTTTAAACCAAACCCTGAAATCAGTCTATGGTATGTTTGATAGTTGGTTTGAGCCATGTGGGAGAAAGTGTAGACTGTCTATTTGGATTCCTTGGAATTCTAAGAACCAATGGCTTGAGACTGTTGGTGGTATGGTTGAAAACTGTTCTCAATGGCGCAGATATATGTATCCACTCTTTCTGTTGTCGAATATCTACTTATGTTCAAGTATTGGTTTGTAGGGATTTGATTGTTTGGTTGCAAGATTTCATCATGAGGTGATATCGGTTAGAGAACCGTTTTCGTCCTAGTTTGGGACTCTTCATCAGTACAAGGGGTTAGAACTCAGGACCTTCTGGTTACAAGGCTAGTGAGCTCGTAGACCATTAAGCCACTGAGACCCGATCCAATGGCCAGCCCATGAATTCTAACTTCTGCCAATTCACGACATAGCGCGACGTCTAGCTGTCCAGTACTCCCAGGTTTTCCAGTGGTCCCCTATCCGATGATGAAATCATGTAAACCCTTATGTGTTCCCATTTCACACTTCCTGTCATTATAGTTTTTTTGGATCTGTCTTTTCTCTATCTTTGTGTGCTATGTAGAGTGTGGCAACACTTGAACTGCTACATTTCTGTGCTGAAACTCAGTGAGTCAGGAAAACACTAGTTTTATAATGCTGTCACTAGCAGATGATAAGTAGGATGAATATCACCATGATTCTATGTTTTTTCTGGTTTCAACCGTTTTTGTTTTGCAATGAATCAAAGGTAGTAGCTCGAAAATATATTCAAATCATCTTTTATACTCCAGAAATAGTTTTCAGTTTTGGATGTATGTGAGTGAATATACGATATAATGGACTAAGAATATTGCCTTGGAAAAAATTGCTTTTCGAAATTTTAAACAATCCTTCTTATTAGAAGTTAATTGGTGGGTTGTGACTAGCAGTGGGATCCAGGATGCACATTTCGTCGCCTAAATTTACCTGCATTCTGCAGTGAGTGGTGATGTTGCCACCGAGGCTCGAAACCAGTGCCCATAGTTTCACTCACTGTGGAATGCAGGTACATCCAGTGACGAGTCCCAAATAGGACGAAATGCGTATTCTGCGTATTCCACAGCTAGTCACCATCCACCAGTTAACTTCTAATTACTTGCCCAAACATCTTCAAAGCATCTGCACAAGAAGCCGACGGACATGTCAACCTGAGACCGAGCACTTCGGTTCAATCAATCGATGGGAAAATCTAAAGTTGAATTTTTTACAATCCTTCCTATACCATAATCGCCATAATTGTTATCATATACATCTTCTATGAGTCGTTTTTTTTTGTTGTTGTCGGTTTTGATATTTTAATTTCAAGGAGACTCTAATAACATTCTTATTTTCTATGTTTATGTGAACAGTTATACAACAATTAGCTTTGTTCACGTGTAAAGAGAGACAAATAGATAGATAGAGATGGTAAGCAATAGGATGAATATATATACATACATACATACATACGTGATCATTTTTTACTTTTAGACATGAGCACGTCTATTTTATAGGACATGTGTAATAAAATATTTCACTGTTCACTTTTTATAACATGTGAATTTAAGAGAGCTAATCAAAAATAATCACATATAAAAATGAAACATTTGCATATATTCACACTTGTATATATGTGTCAGAGTTATTGGATGTTGTGATTATGGTATTTAGTGGTATAAGTAGTTTTATTAGTAGTAGTGGTTGCTAAGTACGATCATATTGATTCACTCTTCATCAGTTGAGTTTTCAATACCAAATTGGGCAAAGTTAAATAATAGCATCCCAAGGGGTGCGAATGCACGAGTTACTTTTAGCCGACCAGTCATAAAAATGAGGAATTTTTGCACAAAAAATGACGTATATTTACAAGAAAGTGCATGAAAATACATTAAACAGGGTATCTTTCTCTGAGATGACTTTAAAATATGTCCCAGTTATAATGAGAAGTATCAGTTGCTAAGTTAGACTAGTTTCTGTACATGTATCCACCCAGGTGACTGAAGATGAGCTGTTTGCGTGAATCGTTTATCTCTCCTCCTGTTGTTCAGCCTTCCCCAAAAGCCCTCAGTTGGATTACTATGGTTTCCAGTAAGAGGATCGACGACTACATACCAGGAAAATGTGGATTTTTTTATTCCTTCACGTTCCCAATGGAACATAAGGCTTCAAGTTTCTGTAGCAGTGTTTATTTTTACAGGATGGGGTTGCTAGCCTCATGCCCAACCTTTCCTCTTCTCCAGTTAATGCTGGCTTAGTGAGGTAAAGGAGTGCGTCGGTCGGGAATCGAACCCCGGACCGTGTAAATGGTCGGCGAGCAACCTAGCCGCTGTGCCACCGACGCACAGGAAAACGTGGATAAGAAAACAAATTCAAATAAATGACATCAACTTTCAATCTATCCCTGACCCTAAACTTAACACTAACCCTAATTACAACCCTTGTCCTAACCGTAAATCTCATCCTAATTATGGCCCTGATCCTAACCCTAACCCCAGTACTTACCTTAACCCTAATACTAACTCTAATGAGCTATTAACACATTGTCCAAACAGTATATAAAAACGTGATCAAGGCGAAATTTTCTCCTTAGTTAGTGAATAGCGTTGATATTTCAGCTATGATAATGATAGGTGTCGTTAGACAACGACTAGTATGCGTTCAAGGTCATTGTAGCGTTCGCACTCCCGGGACGCTATTATCGAACTTCTCTTCAAACTGGATGTAACTATTATCAGTACTTACAGTTTTCATAATCCCCTCTTAGCCAATAATCATCACTACTGAGAAAAACCTTTTTTGCTTTCATTTCACTTCCCGTTGATTGACTATGTTGAGCTGAAATGCTTGGTCTTTGTTGTTAACATATCGGTTTCTAGTAAGACAGCTTCGACGATGTCTAAGAACTAACTTGAAGTTAGTTTTGCTTGGTGTTGAGTAGCAGGAGAATTCAGGATACACATTTAGTCCTATTTGGGACTCATCAGCCGGAGATATCTATATTGCCAGTGGGTGTTCCCATGAGCCCTAAACAGGAAAAAAATGCATATCCTGGATTCCATTGCTGCATTTTGTTTTACGTTTACTTGTCAGTTGGTTTAGTGTTTAAGGGATTTTACAATCTTTGGGTTATTACACTTCACAAACTGGAGATATAATCTTCCAATGTCAAACAGGTTAAGTTGTAACAGTAATCACCTTATGCTAATTATGTTCATTTGTATACTGACTTGTCTTCTTCTTATTATTATTGTTTTTTTTTCTACATCAATTTCATTTACTTAGATGGACTGTTGGATCAAACACAACGTGTTATCTGTGAAAAGTACAATATATCTAATGAAGAATTACTCACTGTTATGAAAGAGGTAAGTAGCACTTCTATAGTCAATCAGTCAGTCATCACTGAGTTGGTTTTATTCTTATTGTTATTTTCTACTCAATCGTAGTGTGTACTTATTTTCTTTATGGAATGTATAAAAAGATAGAATCCATTAGTTCAGTGAAACAAAAATTAGAAAAAGAAAGAATCAAAGATTAGGTGCAATTTGATTGACTCTTATTTAAAAGATTCAAACAATTTGGATCTTTAATTATCATTCTAAATGAAGTTCACGAGGTTGATATACACATCAGTCTTGTTTTAGAAATTCTGTCATTTTTAAAAAGAATTCAATGAGAATCAAGAGTTCCGTTTTACTTCAATAATGTATCATGATTTAATAATAATTCAAAATCTTTAAGGTGTCAAATTCTGATTAAAATTTGTATCACAGAAATTGTGGGGATGCCTTGCAACGTTGTTGAACTGGCGTGGCTTTTTCTCTTGTAAAGATTTGACATGAAAGATTAAGGTGTCCTCAATACCATACCAGCGTCGTCTGGTTTATACTGGCCGGTCCTAAGCCCCCTCCAAAAAACAGAGGAAAGGTTGGGCACAGGGCCTAGCGATCTTGCCTGGGAAAATCATCCCAATCGCTACAAAAACTTTAAAGCACAGTGGAATCGGAGAATGGAATGACGTTAGCTGAAGAAAGACAGTCAGTTGAAGTGTCTTCTTTCAGTGGGAGCGAAAATAAACATAAGGACACGTGGAGTGTCCGTACAATGTTCGAAGCTAAGAAGTCTGCTCAAATTGCCAAGGAGATGGGAAGATGTAGTATAGAAGTGCTCGGAATATGTAAGAGTATATGAAATGGATGTAGACTTTCCAGATTGTTAACTAGAGAGTCGATAATCTACTCTGGAGTTGAGAGCCTAAGAGTAATCCTGGAGCTGAGATTACTGTAGAAAGCAGATTGAAATGAAGATACGCTGTTGAGGCCCTGTGTTCCACTAAGAACCCAAAGGAATAATAACTATACCACACCACATGAACACTTTATGCTTGCTAAGTGTTCGGTGGTGTAAAAATAACTTGTGATCACGTGCAAACCGTACCAACATTATGTGTAAGTTATTGTGTCTGTGTAGTCGTCTATGTATTGATTTGTCCCACTGAATATCTTTTAACGGAGTTGAGTTTCCTCAACTTATATAGTTGACGCATAGTAGTACTTCAGTTGTGGAGCTGAAATCCTTTTCGAGTCATAGAATTTTAAGGTGGTTGAGAAAGGAAGTTTATTCTCCGCATAACCAAAGATGCAGCTTATTCTCTGTACTATGAATTCAGGTGCGTCGGTGGTATAGCGGTTAGGACGCTCGCCGACCATGCACATGGTCCGGGGTTCGATCCCCGGCCGACGCACTCCTTTACCTCGTTGAGCCAGAAATAATACTGGTGAAGAGGAAAGGTTGGACATGAGGCTAGCAACCTCATCCTATAAAATAAACACTGCTACAGAAACTTCAAGACACTAGCTTGAAGCCCTATGTTCCACTGGGGAACGTGAAGGAAAAAAAATGAATTCAGGTGACTTATCTACACACTGTTCTTATTTGAACTCAGTTCCCGGAACAGTTTTTTCATGTTCCAGGCTGTAAGCCACACTGATTATGTCCAGTTGCCCTAGCTGAATTAGGCGGAGTAAGATTCAAACTCGGAACCCATTAAGCTGAAAGTCGAGTACCATAAGCCGAATGAACCACGTCTCCACAACCACGCGCTATATATTAATCTCTCAAACAATATTTAACTAATTATTTTGAAGAGATTCTTCTATTCATGTTTTCTGTTTTATCGATTATTGAATTTTTTAGACTGATGGCAATGTTGAAGATATTTCAAATCCAGGGAAAATTTTATTATTCCAAATAAAATATTTTGCTAAATGTTTCACTTTAATTACTCGAACTCTTGCACCACAAGCTTCATCATCTCTTCTGAATCAAATAAAAAATCAAATTGAATCGGTTAATAATGAAGATTATCAACAATTTGAAGCATTAATACGACAAAAGAAACGACAAAGTTCATTATCCTGGACAGAAGGTTATCTAGACTCACTTACTCGTAGTCCAATATTATGTAGTGAGAATAATAATACAGTTACTACTGTGTTAACTTCCTCTTCATCAACATCAGCATCCTCATCAGCATCAGCATCAAAAGTTCCTCAGGCGTATACTACAGATTCACAAACAGATAATACTATCATCAAAGTGACGCCTTCTACGCATTCTTCACCGAATCTTTTTACTTCTGATAATGAACGCAGTCGTATTGAAGTTCAAGATAGACGAAAATCCAAGCGGCGATCAATTAAATCAGAAACAAGTCCTGTATTAACTTCAAATTTCACTTTCTTAGATCATTTATTGGATAAAGAATTAGTTACTATGGCGCCATTGTTTGCTAAATCTGTCATGTGCTTGTGCAAGGTATGCCGCTTTATGTTATATTATTATTATTGTTTTTTATTTACATTAATATTTAATTGGTGTGATCGGGATCAATTAAAAACTTGGTAAATCATACAGTGAGTTATGTGATGACAGTCAATCTTAAGAGAGCATGTCAAATTCATTAACCGAGGACTATATCAATGCCCATACCCCATTCACTAAATGTTACTAGTTTAGAGACATTTGGTTGGTTAATATGAATTACAGTCTAAAGAGTAGATCAATATCTATCTACCTATCTATCTACTCATGGTTCTAATCATTTGAATTGACATGTGAACGCTACTAAGCAGTTCTCATGCCATTAAAATGCTTTTGTGTAATGACAGTGTGTATGTCTTTTAATTCAGAAAACTAATATTCATGTGAATAAAATTAGGTAGATATTATAACCAGGTTATTTATTGTATTGTATTAAAGTTTTGCGATTGTTGATACTTGAAATTCGATTATGATGAATTATCAGAGGTGGTCGTTGGTGGAGAAATTAAATTTTATACTCATCGATAGGTAGTGGTATTGTTCGTCAGTGGAGTCTTTATTCGTCTTATTTATGTTAAAGATAATCAGAATATGATGTTTCAGTGTTAACTTCTGTTGTTGGTGTTGTTCTTTTTCTTTATAAACACTGAAATCCTCTAGCAGTCGTGTGATTTTATACTATACTGGTTTTGTTGATAAATGTCTGTCAGTGTTGTTGATCAGTCAGAAGTCTACTAAATCGTGAAGATCTCATTTTTACTTCAGTCAGTTTTAATTTAGACAATCTCATTTACCTCAGATTTCAGAGGGCTATTCAGGTCAATACAAAAGAGATCCGTAGTCTTTCTTGACAATTATCTAAAAGGACTGTGCTGCTGACACTCTTGCAGGTGAACCACTTGAAGTTATTGACAAGTTCGTGTACATAGGTAGTTGTATGAATGTTGGTGGAGGTGTGTGTGGAGGATGAAATCTCTAATTGTATAGGAAAAGCCAATTTCGGCCACCTTGCACCGTCGTGAGGTCAATTTGGCTGTGAGAGGTCGGGTTTGCAATGCTTCAGTGCCCGCTGTCTTACTCTACGCCTGTGAAACTTGGCCTGTCCGAGCTGAGGATGTGTGGCAACTCTGCGTAAACGATCATCTTTGTCTCTGTACGATTGCTTTCGTCTGGTGGTCTCACCGCATCAGTATTTGTGAGGTGGCGGCAGCATGTGTTTGGACACACTGGAGATGGAAAAAGCAGAAGAGTGGTCAGCCTATGACGTGGCGTCGTGAGATGAAGGATATTTGTGCTAGGTTATCACCGGTTGGTACACCAGGACTCCTTGGTTGATGTCTGAGTAGTAGTTCGGGTAGAGGGCTCGAAACGTTATCAGATGAAATCAAGAATCGCAATCAGTGACGAACATGCTGAAATTTCCTTCTTTCTTCCTTTCTAACAGTGAAATGAATTGATGAATGTTGAGTAGTGATCTTGACAAATATGCTTTTTGGATTTCTGGATGACGTCCCTCATTTATTCTCCCCCTGCTTTTTTTAGACTGTTGTTTTGTTATTGTTGTGTGCCCATATGGTACCAAGCCTTTGTTCTAAACAAAAATAAATAATTTTCTATAGTTGGTTTGTAAGGGTTAGTTTTGTTTTTTACTAGTTGATCACGGATTGATATCAGTTAGAGAACCATTGAAAACCAGGGAATACTGGACAGCGGTTTCGTCCCAGTTTGGGAGTCTTCAACAGCACGACCCACCAATGAGGTTCGAACCCAGGACCTTCCTGTTACATGGCTAGCTTTTATACCATTCAACCGCTGGGACCTGATTCAGCGGCCAGGCCATGAATTCTAACTTCTGCCGATTCGTGATCTAGCGCGACCACCAACCAATGTCGTCGATGGGAACTCCATCCTCACACTTGACTGGATGGACCTCACTGGTCACGACTTCTCACTAGAACTCCAGGAAACTCCGTCCTGTAGCAAGTCACTAGCGAGCATCAGATTAATTTTCTGTAGTTGGTTTGTGAGGATTAGTTTTGTTCTCTAAATGATATCAATCTGTGATCAACTCGTATAAATGAATAAATTAGAATAAAGGTGAATTATCGAACAGAGGTTACCTTGTCTACATTCGCATTCCTACTGATTTAACTGTGCATAGGGTGTTAACATAACACGTTTGTTGTCTAGACGACCCGAGATACATGCTTATTAGTGTCTCACATTAATTACTGATCGTTCCCACGTTTTTCTTACCAGGTGCATTATCCTATATGATATTGGATTTGTCTAACACTTATTCATAATATTACTATTTAAATTCCATTTAGATGCTTCTTAAGAAATGTTCAAATGAATGGATACTGAACAAAGAGTACTCTTTTCGATAACCCCTTCTTCATCAGGCTCTACAGTTATATATACATTATAGTGAATGAATGAATGAATTAGTGTTATGAACAACATTAATGTTGTTTAAATAACATCGAATCAATAATAATATCAATGGATTACAGTCCAATAGCATCAATATGACAATAAACTGAATGTCATAAAAATTAGGAAAGATAATATTACAAATTCATGAATTTCTAGTCTCTACTGTACGCCGGCCAGGGCAGTAATAGTGGCTACACTCGCTTCTTTTTCACACAAAGCACTGGTTGTTTGAGGCGAATTGTAATAGCCTCTGGTGTTTGGAGCATGCGGTGCTTCGATGATATTGGCAATTTATTAGGAACCCGGTAGATGACAGAGAAGGATTCTTCCACGCTGGCTGGCTTTGTTGCAGGTTTGGGCTAGATGGTCTAATATCTCTAAGTCGAGGAATCCCCATCGGTCGTGTAGAGAATAATACGTGTAGTTCGCCAGCATCGAAAGTTCTTTGAACTGATTTCCTTAATTTCTTCGTAATTATTTCACTTGGTATATCGCCCTTGAGTCGCAGTCATGTATATATAAAGACTTCTTGTTTACGGATAGTGAGTAGTCTTTTTTCCGCTTCCTTTGTCATGTGTTTCTTGATAAATATGTCGGGATAACATTTGTTAATCAGTTAAAATGTTCAAATGTAACTACTCAATCTCTTTAAAGACTACAAACTTGTTATTTATATTTAATGTGACGTACAGTTGTTTCGTGGCGTCGGTGGCATAGCGGTTAGGACACTCGCCGACCATGCATATGGTCTGGGGTTCGATCCCCGGCCACCGACACACTCCTTTACCTCGCTAAGCCAGAAATAATGCTGGTGAAGAGGAAAGGTTGGGCATGAGGCTAGCAACTCCATTATGTAAAATTAACACTGGTACAGAAACTTCAAGCCACTAGCTTGAAGTCCTATGTTCCACTGGGGAACGTGAAGGATAGAAAAAACAGTTGTTTCGTTTGATATATCGAAGTGTTGAATAGAACTGTATGAATTAGTGTTTGACAAGCCAGTGTTTTTTTATATTTTGGATTTTACTGTTAAGTAGTAATTCAGTAGTAATTCATCACTTAACGCTTCGTTTTTTCATAAAAACCGATTTTCGTAATAGAAATTTGTTATTAAATAATATTCCGCTTTAGTAATTTAAAGTACTTAATGGCCTTTTACTTTTCTCATTGTGTATTTCAGTTAACTCATCAAGACTTTTCGTATAGCAGCAGTTGTTTAAAACAATCTGTAAGTCAAAAGACGATTTTATCTAGATCATCTGTACAAATTGACTCTGAAATGCATTGGACTAAAAGTAATACTAGTAGTAGTGGTACTGGTGGGACTACTGAAGACGGTGAAGATGAAGAAGTGAAAACACTGGCTAATTCTATCATCGATCTGTCTGGATCACGACCGTGTGATACAATGAATAATTATACATTACCGTCAATTGAACATTCGGATACAATCAATACAGACTTTGAGTTTCCAACCAATGAAATACTAGGAAGCTCAGAGAATGGTATGTATTCAATTTTTTTGTTTTGAAAGGGTCGTAAATCTAAACGCCTTTGTGTTAATTTGCGCATAGACCTATTTTAGTCAGACAGCCATTTAGAATTATGTTGCTTTATTTTGTGTATTTATTATTTCTATGATAGAGTCAATTAACCCATTGATCAAGATTATGCATACGGGTCAGTTAAAGAAAGGGGAGATAGTTGTCACATTTTATTACTTTGCACAAGGGTGCCTGTCTTCGAATTTTTTTTCTTCACGTTCCCCAGTGGAACATACGGCTTCAAACTAGCCGTGTTTATTTTACAGGATGGGGTTGCTAGCCTCATGCCCAACCTTTCCTCTTCACCAGCATTATTTCTGGCTTAGCGAGGTAAAAGAGTGCGTCGGCCGGGGATCGAAACCTGGACCATGTGCATGGTTGGCGAGTGACCTAACCGCTATGCCACCGACGCACAATCTTCGAATTACTTTACTTTATAAAGCTATGAATAAAGAAATTGCACTAATACAGAAAGGATATCAGTCGTGGGGTGGGGGAGGGGGCTGTGTAAAACCTGCATCAGAAATAATGAAATGTTTGAAATAAAAATCAAAGATATAGGTAACTAATCCCTTGTTTCTCCCATATGACTGGAGTTTTCGGAGATTCTGCTCATGGCGTCTAGAAAACTTTGTCATCTCTTTCACTATATATATATATATATATATATATATATATATATATATATATATATATATGGATAGATATCACCGTTAACTTTTCCTACTTCGGACACTAAGGATGACAAGCCTTATGTTAATAAGGACAGCAAGCAAGCAAAATAGGATTTCATCATTGAAGGTATACCTATACATACAAACAGATCATTGTAGGACCTTGCACTTTAGATTGTTTATATTTCGAAATAGTACGCAGACAGGAAGTAAAGGAGCATGAACTACTGGTGATACCTTTAATGAAAAAAAAACGTTTATAAACAATCAGCATAGTTGAGTACAGGTTGATAATTTCAAAGATAAATAATGTTATTGTTAGCACTTTTCATTGATGCCACCAAGTTCCCTCCAACAATTTTTTCTCAGTATCCTGAGCAAGCCCCATCTCAAACAAATAACCAGAGACTTCATTAACTAGTGCAATACTTTTGTTTTGTCACCAACCTTAACTATTTCCCAACTTAATTCTAATCCACTCAAAATTACTTCTTGAGAAAGGTATTAACTTAACTAAGCGTAAGGATATTTCCCTGTCACTCTAGTCGGTGGAGGTTGTAGGTTTCGATCGTATCGGTAATTTAGATGAAGTAGTCATCTTTGATAGTTGTCATATTTAAATCGATATAGCAACAACAGTAAGATATTTCATGACTTGTCAATTCACTTTCTTCACATACATTCAACTGAATTTCTGAGTCCTATTTTGAGTTTTATGTTGCCAAAAGATGTTATTTAGAAGCTTTAGATTCTTTGTTCCATTCAACTGTGAATTTATTTGTAAATCGTGATTTTTTTTCAAAGCTTTGCCAACACTTTAGTAAGTTAATATTACTTATTGATGTGACTGTCAATACAACCTAGTAGTTTACGAATCCTTTGCGTTAACAAACTTTCCTAACTAATAGATTTTCGAGCCTAGCATTCCAAATACTATTCTCAGTGACAACCACCAAGACGCGGTACCACCGACATGCGAAGCAAGAATAAAGAGAAGAGACAGCTGACAGGAAAGCTTGTACTGTCTCGAATGAATAGCAACAAGGCCCGACTGTAATCCTGAATATAAAATTTTTAGGTGACCTTGACAGAAATTAATTTCATTGATCAATTCAAACAGTCGACAACCAATAGGATTTAGCCGTCATAAGGAGGGAAATACAAACATTGTGGTAACGTAAGTAAAGGTAGTAGTTATAGGCTTTGGAAAATCTAGGTGTATTTAACGCAAATTTAGTGCAGTAAAAGAAATTTCAGAAAAAATATTTCTTATCTTCACTTTTATTGTTTGTCTATTAACAAAGTGTTAATCTTTTGTCATACATTTTCCAAGATCTACATGAAGTTGCTAGACAAATTGTATCTGATGCATTGGAGAATGCTAAGAATTTTATTTCAAATATAAAACCTGACGGAGATGAAGAAAAGACATTGAATGTTGTTCGTGACAGCGGATGTGCACCGTCTGCTACAGACGAAGAGGAAGAGGAAGAAGAAGAAGAAGAAGAGGATTATGATGATAACTATCATAGAAATCATCATGAAATTGTTGAAGAAACTTCTGGAAGTCACACAGTTGACAATGATGAGATTTCAACACCCGTGTATTTCTCTAGTTCTGAAGTTATGACGCCTAAATCTCTAAGTATTCCTCCACATGTCTTAGACGATGATCCATTGGATCAAACTATTATATCAGATAATGCGCCTTCCTTGAATGATGATTTATTCATTACCAACAGTGCAATAGAAGATGCAATACAACATCAGACAGTTGGATCATCATCACCACCTCCTGATTCTGTTGCATCTGGAACGACAAATATCGGTAGAAATGACTCTCAGAAATCGACTACTTCAAGTGGTTATGTAGATTCTGGTGATGATTAACAACAACAACAATAACAACAAAAATATTATGTACACAAATCTGTTGATTGATTTTTTTTCTCATTTTTGATATATTTTAGTTTCCTAAATAATAATGAGCTGAATTCTGCATATATTACAGACAGCTGATTTATTTCTTATGCCTCTTTCATCTATGTGTAGGGATCTTGTTTGCATAAAGGTAATCGAAGTTTATAAACCCCGATTGTTTCCACTTTCTTATATCCTTCCCTTTTTTCCCTCTTATACTGTATAGTTCTTCCTGCTTTATTTTGTTTGTTTGTTTTTTGGTTGGTTTGTTTAATTTCTTTTTTTCTTGATGAATATGCATTTTATTCGTAGTATTATTTTCTTTAATTCTTTCTTTGTTTCTCAAGACTTATTTTACAGCATAGTAATACACATCAATGCCTAACTCTATTGTGTGTATATCAAGTGCACTTGTTAAATGACTTTACTTCTTTGGCCTTTAAACAAGTGCATTATAAATATATACATATATATATTTGTGTATCTTAACACTTAAGGTATGTGTTGTTTGTGGAAGTTTATTTTCGTTTAAGAAGTTTTTACTCAATATCAACAATAAAAAAATAAAGCATTGATAATAACAACAATAATATTGCAGTTTACATATACATTTATATATTTTTTTCTCAATATCGTTGTAATTTGCTTTTGCTTTATTGTTTTTTGGTTTCTAATTATTTTCTAATTAAGGTTTACACACTGATTATGTCTTCCTTAAGATGAGTTTGATTTCTTCCATATGATGATTAGAGTGTATTATATATATATATATACATGTATGATAATACTGTTTCTGTACGCCTGTCACCTAGTTACACAACTTGAACCAGTTTGAATTTAAACTGACTGACTGATTGTCTGTCTGCCCGCCTGCCTGCCTGTTTAATATAGGCGTACATATAGATGTGTTTACAATATCTCCAGTGATCTTGATTTGCGTAAAAATACACCTTTTTGTTGTTTATTTTCTGATTGAATTGAACATGTACACATGTGGATCGTGTGTCTGTTGTGTTTTTTTTTGAATAACTTTGTGTGAGTGTGTAAATACACTAAACCATGCTGCCGAAAAATAAACTTGAATATATATACATATAATAATATGGAAATACTTCCGATGTGTCGACCATATATACATATATGTAAACAAAACCATTTGCCTTATTACTACTATTATTATTGTTAATAATAATCATGATAATTTTTACTAAAATAGCTGTCCACATATTGTGTTGGTTCTGTTTGAATTTCTTTCATGCAAGTTCATATCACAATTTACTCATATACGTTCATAATAGTAATGATGAAATAAAGAGTGGGTCAAGTGCTACCCTCTAAAAAGCCTACTCTTTCTTTTTTTTTTTATTATTTCTTCCGTCAACATAGGGACTGGTTTTTTCCACTTTTGTGTTACACTTTCATCATTATATTTGTAAAATATGGATGAGTAGTAGTAGTAGTACAGTACACTGGCTAGCTTCTTTTCGTTATGAATTGTTTCTGTCATTGTTATGCTGCTACACCGTCATGTGAAAAGTGATGTGTTTTTTTTTTAATTTGACTAATAGAACAGTATTCACTATATTTTATGGAATTTTGAGAAATGTTTATATATACACGTACATACTTTCCGTCTTATTTGTGCCTAATATATAAATCGTCGGTGTTCTCGTTGTTCGATTGTTCATTACTATTTATTATGCGTTCTTAGGGGAATATAGGGCTTCAAGCTTAAGCGTTGAAGTTTCAGTAGCAGTGGTATTTTGTTTCTTGTTGGGCTTTTGTTTTTATACAGAATAGGCTTACCAGTCTCACGCCTCTAACCTTCTCTCTTTTCCACCGGGCTTACTACCGTTTAAGCAAGGTTTGAGAGTGCATCAGCCGGGGATCGAACCCTAGACAACGTGAGTGTGATTGGCGGGTATTCAACCATTGACGGAAATTTATTAAATACGAATGGTGTTTTAAGAAAAAAGAGGGAAAAAATTATAAGAATATTTATTTTACAGTTGATCCAAGAGATGGAATTGATGAATATCATCTATAAAGGTTGTTCTTTATCTTTGAAAATATAATGTTTCTCTTGTCCTGATGGTTATGTGATAGGTTATGTAAATAATCCATGTCGTAAGTTATCCTATGTTTTGTAGTGTGTCACAACGTTTCTTCTCACTTCTTTGGTTTGTTTGTTTGTCAGCTTTGCTTCCTGCTCTCAGTGTGTGTGTTTCATATATATAATAAACATCTTGTAGGAGGTGTGTTGGATGGTAATTTTCTGTTGCTTTTTTAATAAAACAATAAAAATTTTATGTCAGCTGAATTTGATGCATATATACATACATCTTTATAGTATTTGAATGACACATCCTAAAAATCGATAATGCATACTTTTTTCTGACCAATCAGTGTGGACGGAAAACACGTGAGAATGGCTATGATCAGTTTATTATCGTGTTATAAAAAGAAACATGATAGAAATGAGCTTATTTTCTTTTTACACTGTTACTTTTTCTAATAGTGAGATAAGGAAAAACACATGAAATCATAAGAAAAATGTCTTAATTCATAAATATGAGAGATTGTGGTGCATTTGATATCAGAATTTTGATAATTTTTAATTCACTGATATTTGGGATGAATTCAGTTTTCTAAAATATCTGAAACGGGAAAAGCATTAGTGCTGCATGACCTCAGCACAGATACCAAAGGCTCGTTTCGCTTATGCCAGTTTACGCCGCCTCTGACTTAGCAGACATGTGTGTATTGCTCAGCAGTCCGCTCCGTTCTCCTCTATGGCTGTGAGACCTGGCCATTGAGAGGGGACGACATGAAAAGGTTAGCTGCCTTTGAACATAGATGCCTGCGTTCCATCTCCCGTGTGAAGTAGTATAGTAAAGTAAGCAATACTGAGGTTAAGCGTCGAGTGTTAGGTAAGGAGGGGAAATCAATCGATGAGGCTGTAGAGCTACATTGACTGAGAGTGTGTTACGTATGCCTAGTCATCGCCTTCATCGATCTACGGGCAATGTTAGCTGATATAGGATGGATCAGGTTGGAAAAGAACTAGCGGCGGTCAAACAAAAACATGGCACCAGTCAATGAAATCCACAACAGTTAGTTTAAGCCGGCCACGTAGGAGGGTATAGACTTCCTGACTGGTTGGGGTCCTCGGGACGTTAAAAACCAATGGTTGGAGAAAATCGGTGATATGGCTCAAAGTCGTTCTCAATGGCTGGCGAAGATGCATCCACTCCTTGTGACATATAATACCCGAAGAAACTATATTACTCTTCGTTATTACCATTCCTTTTGTCTCATATCCCTGTTTACTGTCTCTTGCTTTGTGTGGTACATGGAGTGAGTGTGGCGACTTGAACTGCTGCGCATCGGCGCAAAGTTCTATGTTGAAAACAAACTTGAAATGGTCACACAGTGTTCAGAGTTATGTACTCATGAAGACCATTACCTCGAGATGTACAGTTTTCGGGGTCAATCTTCACCAATCCATCTCCTCAGATCGGAGAAGCAGTGTGGCTGGGTTGATAGTCGGCCGATGAAAGCATCCTACTGCTATTACACCTATATTCATCAGCAGTAGAACTCCGCTGTCAGACACCCGACATTTTGTTAACCGATTTTAATCCAACTGCCTATCCATACTACCTTTCTGCCACGGTAAAACTTGTCTCTAATTTAGCTCGTTGGTTCACTGCTATATGGAAGTCTGACCACCAACACATTACAGTTAGCGGCTATCGGTTGAGAATCTCAAAGGTAATTATTTTCGAGATTTTGAAATGCGCCTAACAAGCTCTAAATCACGAGTGAACTGTGAAGACCACTTTTTGACGTGTTTCCTCATAGCGCCTTTACATAATGCACCGGGTTTCCATTTTTTTTCTAATCTCTTTTCATATGCAACAAAGCTATTTCATCACATGATATACTTCGGATCATTACTATATATTGTAAATATATTGTATGAAGAGGAAATATTTTGGAACTGAATACTCGGAAAAAATTTCTATACTAAATATTCACATATTGTCTGAAATAAAGCTTTATTATTTTTTAATATTATTACTATATTATTCACCGTGCTGCTAAAAATAGTTTTGTTAGAAAACAAAATAAGTTTAGTATAACAGCCAGACGGCAAAACACGAAAGCCAAGGTATATTTTCAAGTGATCGAACCGCTATTTATACATATACATACAGTTTTATATTCTTTAACCAATCACTGAACGTGTGATTTTGGTTTACATTAAACTACATGAAACAGAATATTCAAATACATATGTTATTCTGTTGCTTATGCAGTATAGAACTGTGGGAATATGTGAGAATAATATTCCATTGACACACATTGACTGTATTATATGGTTGGAGGCAATTGGCAGGAAGCCTTGGACCTAGGTTTCGTGCTAGTTGGCACTCGTCAGCAAAGCGTATCTGCAACCTTGAAGGAACCCATGTCCCTAGGTCCAAGGCTTCCTGCCGATTGCCTCCAACTATCTAATATCATCAAATCAATGTGCACCGTGATGGCAAGCTACCTAGAATGGTGACAACATTGCAAAACCTGACTGACTGAATTCAGTCTGCATCAAAGAAAGGACTAGACGCATAACACTAGTTACTAGTGTCCAATCAAAGTACACATTGACTATATCACACGGCCACACTAGTATACCACTTTTATTGCATCAATGATAACCTGATTAGTATTTTCGGTTATTAGTGGTACCAGCAATGTTCGTCTATTTCTGGTTAGATGATGTAATAAAGTCTGTCATTTGGGTCAAAGATTATCCAAACAAGAATAATAATAAAAATAATTAGAGTGTGGGATTTGGATTAGTTTAGTTCTCGTTGTTAGATTTCATCACGAATCAACCAACATCAAGTTGGAGAGATTATTGGAAACCAGGCAGCACGGGATAGCTGTTTTGTCCTATTTCTGGGACTCTTCATCAGTACGCACCCACGACCTCCCCATTGGGGATCGAACTTGGAACTTTCCGATTACGATACCAAGCTTGTTGACTATTCAACCACTTGGGTGAAGATTCAACGATCTCTCTAACTGATGTTGCCTAGCAACGAAATCTAACAACTGAAGAATAATAGTGTTAACTATTTTCTCTTTAGACTTCTTAATTGACATACATTTCTAATGATTTTACTACTGAACATTCTAATGCATAAGTAAATTTTTGATATTAGACTTAATATTTCGCTTCTTTTTGGTACAGGTATGGAATTTTCAGCATGTGATATCGATAGCCCAAATTTTGCAGGCCGACCATAGATATCAGGTGTGCATCGGCAGGGGATTGAACCCCGAACCATGTGCACGGTCGGCGAGAGTCCTAACCTCTGTGAATAACGACCCCCCCCCCCTGTAGTAGCATAAAACACCTTATTCCTAAACCCAATCCTTACCTTAACTCTAATACTCAATCCTAACCCTAACGTGAGTAAGGAAAAGATACCACAACCGAATGACCTTGAAGCAACCAATCAGATCTCTCAGCACTACGAATGAGTGATTTTCATAATCTTCTATGCAAGTATTTCCATGACTGAGGATTAGGGCTGGGGCAGGGTTACGGTTAGGGTAAGACATACAATGAAGATTTTGGATGGCATCCATCTGAAGTTCTGAGCGATGTGATTGTCAGAATCAGTGGATCCTGTAACTGGTACTCATACAAATTCTGTTGAAGTATTTCGGGTATATCTGAAAACCCTGATTGTATTGCTATGTGTCTGTAGCCACTACTACGAAAAACTGAGACTTGTTTTCGTGGCATATTACAGGCATATACCATGCCTAGTTCATGTATATATATATATATATATATATATATATATACTTTTTCATACTATAAATGTCACTTTTTACCTGGAGGCATATGATTGGCTGGCTCAAGATCGTTTGGTAACGGTATGCATTCTTAACAGTTGTCCCAAGCACTACTCAAAAAAGAGATCAGAACGAAATTTGGTACGTTCGTGGTTACTATTCTTTAGGTTGTCCTATAGTTGTATAATAAAAACTAGCAAATGCATGTCA